ACCGTAAAAGGCTGTTATAAAGGACTATAGTGAGACAAAATCTACAAAACCCCATTTGAAATTTCCATCAACAGGTTTTGCTTTACAGTCCGACTATCAATAATAGCACTGTATTGTGGAATACGGCCAGACTGTAAAATTAAAGTTTACTAGCTTAGTTATTTAAGTCTGTAACAGTCCGACTGTAAAATTAAAGACAGCCAGGACCATACTAAAAATATATTGGCCGTCCTCTTCGAATTACTGTAGATTTTTACAATAGTGCTCGCGGGCATGGCCTGCACGTTACGTTTTTACACAGTAGCTCGTGGCATGGCCGTGAGCACGTTCCTATTGCACTCCTTTGTGCAATAGTCTTCGTATTGGATGTAAGCGTGTTGTGACGGTACGCCTCCTCGTTTGTGTCCGATAGTCAAGGAGATCAGATACACAACACGCTGTCACTGCCCGTTATAAGGTCGCTCGGTGCTGTCCGATTATCTCCTGTAGGTTTTCGTCAGTGAGCTCATTTTCCCCTCTTCCTTATCTAGGTCGGCACCTCTTGCAAACTCTGCTTAGTCATTCATCTCGGCCCGAGTCATCACCGGCTCCACTGCACCGTGCCAAAGTGTAATAAAACTATTATAGACAATAATGTCGTAAGTTTGCGATCGGTATGGTAAATACGACTGACCATATTTCAGCTCGTTTCAGAAAACTAAGTCAATACTTAGTGTCTTCAGAACTTCGTAATTTTACGGATCGAAAATTCCTTAAGCCTTTGGCCAACAGCCATCAGAGGCCTCGCGGTTACAGTAGTCGGGTCAAGTATAAAATTGGCCTCCGTATCACCTACAAACATACTTAACAGACTGTTGACTGCTAGTAGCCGATGTTTCCCTAGGTAAGAGCAGGTATGAATGTAATGTAGCTTGGGCGGGGGAGGATTTACCATATGAACAACCCTGTACGACCGTGTATGTAGGCAACGCGGTACATCGCCTTCCCTGCGAACTGGACTTTCATCCGTAACTGAATAAGATTGACTTGCAAGCCCATTTGGCTAAGCGTCCTAGCAGCCTGACCTGCTCTGAAAACTCCACAGTGTACTATTGAACGCTGATATATCAGCAAACACTTCAACTTGTTGAGTTTTCAGAATGCCGATAGGTTTGAGTGGGCATTTGGCCCTAGAATCCTGGGTGATGAAAGGAACGGAGACGGAGTAGGGCTCTTATCGGGTACCCGGAAAACCCGCTTACCCGGGCACCCGAGTAGGACCCGTGTCGACGGGTTTTCCCGGGTAGACGGGTTTTCGCGGGTACTTGGTGTATTACCCGGCTGCCCCGCGCCTATAGCTAGGCAATTTGACATACGAGCATGTCAAATTGCCTACTTGTAGGCGCGGTTCCACCGGGTTTACCCGGGTACCCCGAGTACCCGGGAAAACCCGTTGACCCGGTTCCTACCCGGGTTACCCGGGTACCCACGGGTCGGGTTTTTAAGAGCCTTATTACGGAGGCGAGGTGACAGGCACTTTTTGTGGGTCCACATCGCACGAGAGATGACAATCCAAGCGGCCGTCTGGTAAATTCCAAGGCAACTTTGGTTCTATACTCGGGTTTGGATAAGTCTGATCTTTTCTTTAACAGAGCAATATTCCAGACCTTTAGGCTCAGAGCCCCTCTTGGGGGGGGGGGGGGCTTTGCAGAAGGACGGCGCTGACTACCACCACCTACTAGGAAGGCTCAGGAGAAAATTAAATTATTGTTACTGATTGAAAATACTGAGTGAAACGTTCAACAAAAGGATTTTTAGTGAGGTATTTCCGTTTGGGTCGGAAGTACGAAGAGAAAAACGAAGCTGGAAAGGCGCCTTTGGCGTGCTTCCACTTCTTTGGCTACTGTGGAGAGTGCAACCAATCCCATCTACTATACATCGGTAATCTTTGGTCATTGATATCCCAGGGAATTATTGGTATTTTTGGTAATCCGGTATACATAGTTTTCTCGAGTTGGGCACCCACCCCTCGGCCTCTGTCAAAACTTCTGTGCAGGAGCTGGAGGTAATTCTGAATCTGAACCCACCCCTTTTGAATGCACACTACACACGTTTCTGAAAAACGATCCCATGCACGCTTGCGTGACCGCTCCCTTACACACACACGTGCGCGCGCGCCCACACACACACACACACACACACACACACACACTCAAAGAGGCGCGGACGCACGCACAGTCCTGATAACGCGGTGACGTCACCTTATCTCGACACGTGGCGGGGGTTGGCTGGTTCGCCACGTGCCGCGGTTGCCGGCGCTAAACGGTCCGCGCTATCCGGACACCATCTCCTGCTCAGGACGTTGTTCCTCCTATACTGCCTCGCGTCTCGCAGTGCCCTATCAGTTTGGACCAGTACTCTCCAAAAGTCGAGCTGAAACTCGGTTTGTAACTTGTTGTAATAACAATTTATAGTATACTAGTCAGACTCGCGAGCGTCTCGGAAATCGGCTACACTTCTCAGATCGGGTTTGTAGGCTCTTGGTACCTTGGTTGGTACAAACTCTGTGCGTGGGTATGCACTGTACACTTTGCGAACTGTTTTCTGGACATGCCGCTGTGTGGTGTGTATGGGCATGCTCAGTCATGTTTATTCTGTATTGCACTCTATTTTTTCAGTGTTTTCTCCATCCCCGCAAAACAATTTTTCATTCTCAAAAACTTACAGTGAATACATTCAGCACTGGAAGAGGCGGCCAGCCTTGAGGCGGCGATACACTTACAGCACTGCAGCTTCCAGTGACACTCGCCGTGACTTTCAACAAAAATACGAGCAAAAATAACTTACAGTAGTGCTGGGGGTTGCACTGTAAATCACGGGGAAATTCCTCGTAATATTTTGACCGTGATTATTGGTGACTCGATTGCCGCGGAACCCAATTGCCAGTGGAGCGAAACGGAGCTGGTGTGATGATGATGATAGAGAAGGGGGCTCCGGGAGGAGAAGAGAGAGTGACAGGGAGGGGGGAGACATCGCCACCTCATTGAAGGTAGGACTGTTGAAGTGGCCCGATACTTCAATTACCACACTTGTATCCCCACACTGATCAGTCGACCTCGCTGCGACTGATCGCTGACCCCTCAACGATTAACTACCAATCAATCAAGCAATCAATCGCACTGTCCGTTTATGTGATGACTGTGCCTCTGCTAACGCGCGGCTGGGCATCCAATCAACCAGTTGGTGTCCCGTCGAGTCTTACTGGGTTGGCAGCTTAGTTCTCAAGGGACAGCAGCAGACACTACGCGACAGGGTCCAGTCTTGGTCCAGTACTGTATGTTTTTCGTCCTTTTCTTGTAAATGGGTTTTTAGTCAATTCCAGGAGGCTGCCTTTTACGGTTCATGGGAGTTATTTCTCTTCCTCCAAGTTTCGATTAATTTGAGCGTTTCCTCTACTGTCAGGGCTACGACACAGCGTACGTGCTCCACCCCTAAGGCCCCCATTCACTGGAAAAACGTTTGGTGATGCAACCTGTTTGTGATAGCCCTATCCTTTTGCATGGGGTAGGTTGCATCAGGAAACGTTACCTG